GGGGAAGAAGGGGAGGGAACAGAAGGGAGAGGAGGAGGGGGAGACGTGAGTCGTGACAGTGAATGCTCACCCCGAACTCAATTGGCCAGAGGCCTGGCCTGAGCCCATAAACACTGGATCAATCACTCCTCCAAGGGTAGACATGAAGTCATGAGTAAGAACCTCTCAAGTCTTCTGAAAAAATTCTCTTGAGTCATGAGACCTACATTCACAGTGATTTCATTGACAACATGGAAGTCTAAGAATTAAAGACAAAATCTATAAGGGGCAAAAACACCCTCTCATTCTGCAAGAAGAAAAATCTAAATGTCTTCAAACAATCCAATAATAAGAGTAGTCTGTCCAGACAAATGAGCTGGGGGAGATGGCCGCTTAGGAGGCCTAATAGCTTAAGATCATGGAATCTCAAGCTTGCTTGGGAAGGGTCTTTGGAGATCGTCTGTGAGCTGAAAAGACTTCTTCCCAAGTAATTCTGTCAGCAGCTAGTCAAGTGAGATTCCATTGCTTGTAATTTATTACGTTGGGTTCTTAAAGACATTTTGGTTTCCAATTATTCCCTGTAGAAATTTAGATAGCCTTTTGTAACGGTTTTATTTTCTGCATTTCAATTCTCACAATGGGTTGAGAGCAAGATCCTGAAGGAAAGACAACTAGTTGGAATGAAAAGGTAGGATCAGGGGGAGGAGACAGTAAGGAAAATGAGTGTGGCACACTAGAAGGAAAACAGGAGTGTGCAAGAAAAATGGCCTATAGTTCAGTTTTACTGCAAGTTCTTTTTATTGGCAGGAAAGAAAACAGTGTCTAAAATATGTGTAGCTTAGTAAGGACTGAATGCTACAAGTTAGACATTATTATCCCATTTTGCAGATGAGCAAACTGAGGGTCTAGAGGCCAAGTTCACATAATTATCACATGGTGGAGCTAAAAATCAAATCTTGCTCTGGCTGATTCCACAGTCCTTACTCTTAACTATTAGGCTACAGACAGACAGTATGATAATCAAGAAGCTCCCAAAAAACCATCATCTAACAACATGAAGAAGAAAAACTGACTCTACATGTTTGTCTTTTTTCCCCTCAACTTTTGTGACCACCTATTGCTGGATATATTGGGTTTTTAACATATAAAAGAAAACAAGACGCCAAGAAAAGCCCAGGACCAGATGGCTTCACAGCTGAATTCTACCAAATATTCAAAAATTAATACCGATCCTTCTTAAAATCTTCCAAAAAATAGAAGTAGTGGGAATACTACCAAACTCATTTTATGAGGCCAGTACCACCTGATACCAAAGGCAGACAAAGATACCACAAGAAAAGAAAAGTATCGGCCAATGTCTCTGATAACCATAGAGGCAAAAATCTTCAATAAAATACCAGCAAACCAAATTCAACAATACATCAAAAAGATTATACACCATGACCAAATGGGATTTATCACTGGGATACAAAGTTGGTTTAAACATTAAAAAACAACCAGTGTGATATACCACATTAACAGAATGAAAGATAGAAACCACATGCTCATCTCAATAAATGCAGAAAAAGCATTTGACAAAGTTTCACATCCTTTCATGATAAAAAAAAAAGAACTCTCAACAGAGGAGGCATAGAAGGAAATTTCCTGAACATAATAAAAATCCATTTATGAAAAGCCCACAGCTAATATCATAATTAATGAGGAAAAACTGAATATTTTTTCTCTAAGATATGATACAAGACAAGAATTTCCATTCTTACCACTTGTATTTAACACAGTAGTGGAAGTATTAGGAAGAGCAATCAGACAAGAGAAAGAAATAAAAGTTATCTAAATTGATAAGAAATAAATAAAATTATCCCTTTTTGCTGGAGATATGATCCTATATATTAAATATCCTAAATCCCACTAAAAAAAATGTTACAACTAATAAATGAACTCAGTAAAGCTGCAGGATACAAAATCAAAATACAAAAATCATTTGCATTTCTTAACATTAATAATGATCTATGTGAAAAAGAAGTCAAGAAAACAATCCCATTTATGACAGCATCATAAAGAATAAAATATTTAGAAATAAATTTAACCAAGGAAGTAAAAAATCTGAACACTAAAAACTGTAAAATATTGATGAAAGAAATTGATGAAGATATAAATAGATGGAAAGATATCCCATGTTCATAGATCAGGAGAATTAATATTGTTAAAATGTCCACACTGCCCAAAGCAATATGCAGATTCAGCACAATCCTTATAAAAATTCCAACAGCATTTTTCACATAAATAGAAGAAAGAATTCTAAAATTTGCATGGAACTACAAAGACTTCGAGCAGCCAAAACAATCTTGAGAATAAAAAACAAAGTTGGAGGCATCACACTTCCTGGTTTACTACAAAGCAATAATAATCAAAACAGTATGGCATAAAACAGACACACAGACCAATGGAAAAGAATAGAGAGCCCAGAAATAAACCCAGGCATATATGGTCAACTAATTTTCAACAAGGCCTCCACGATGATACAATGGGAAAAAGATGGTCTCCTCAATAAATGGTGCTGGAAAAACTGGATATCCACAAGCAAAAACATAAAACTGGACTCTTATCTAACATCATACTCAAAAATCAACTCAAAAAGGTTTAAAGTCCTAAACATAAGACCTGAAACTGAAA